ATTTGAAAATCTTTTTCATATAACTTTTGCGCTGTTTTGTCTGCATATAACCAAAACGAGGTTTTGACAAAATAAAAAAAATCTGACAAATTCGAAACGCATTCGTTCTTTGTTCTGTTTTCTCCTGCAGAAGTAAAATATTGATTAAGAATACTGTCTATGGTATCAATTTCGATATCGCTGGAATTAAACCATTGCTGCCTTAGTAAATGGAGAAAATAGAGGATCCACGGTCCGCAAAGCGACGAATCGCCAAGTTGATATGCCAAATCGTTAAAAACAATGTTCACGTTTTGAATGTCGTGTTTTTGCGAATAATAAAAACAAAACTTTGTTAACCATTTGTCTTGCGTGTCGCAAAGCGGAAAATGTTTTTTACGTCTAGTATAAAGATGGTCGTTAAAGTTAAGAGTCATTTGACTTAGCGCAGTCGATAGCGAATTTGTTTCGGCATATTCCAAAAGGTCAGGATTGTTTTGAACTGCAATCGGAATTTGTTGAAAAAAACTTTTCTTACCTAAACTGTCAAAGCAAAACAAGCTATTATTGTTTAATTTGAGCATCATGCGCCAATGCGTTCCATTTTTTTAGACGAGTCACTGTTGTAGATAAAAAAATCACCGACTTGAAAATTCTGTTTAAATACGTTGTTGACTTGGTCAAAGGGAAAAACACCTATAAAATTTTTAAAGTTCTTTTTGCAATACTTTTCCAAACTAAGATCAGTGGTCATCTTTTTTTTCTGCGAGATTGTTAATTAGTAGACTGTATACGGCATTGACAATTTCTTTATAAAACAAAACAGTGTTTTCTATTTTTATTTCACCAGACAAGAGTCGCTTTGTAAACCCGTTTGAAATCATCACTTCGAGAGCTTTGAAATTTTTTTTTATAACAGGCATACAGAGGGTAATAATGTCAGCGATACCGTCAACATTGTCTTCATTTTGTAACTCTTCTAATGAAAATCCATTTGATAGACTAAGCATTGATGTCAACCCGGACCCGTAGGTGTTGTTTAAAAATTTCAATTCTTTTTTCATGTCGAGTGTATTTTCATTTTGGTATATTGTTGTCTGATTAAATTTTAATTGATGTCTGTCGCACATGCTTTCTTTTGAAATATCAAGACTATTGATTTCATGACTCACTTCGTACCAAAACGTTTTCTTTTTGAGTTCTTTTGGTTCGGCTTTAATTAGTCGTTGTAAAACGTGCATCTTTGCATCATTTTTTATTTTTAATTCGAAATTTTCGATATTGCGTGTTTTCCATAGTTCTAAAATCAAGCAGAAGTTACAAGTTGTTTTTGTCATTTTGTTTTCTTCCATTTTTTCAATAACTTCTTTTTTTTTCAAATAAATTTCTTAATAATTTTTTGAAAAAAACCTCAACGTTGCTTTCACTTAATGTCACAAGCATGAATGCAAAGAGACAAGACAAAAAATTAAGTTCAAAAAAAAAATGGATTAAACATGTAAATACTAATGTTTAATTTTAAAAAAAGAGCTGTTTTTTCGAATAGCAGAATGCATTTTTAATAAAAAAAAATGCATAAGAAAAACAAATGAAAAAAAAGTAAAAAAACATGGACTAGGCCCGATAGAGCAAAATGATACTTGCAAAAAGTTAAATTATCGCATGTTTAATATATCAACTTTTTTTTCTAATAAAAATAAAGTAAGAAATTTTTTATAAAAAGTTTTTATTAAAAACAAAAAAAAGCTGTTAATAAAAAAGATATTTTTTTATAAAAAAAAAAAAGATTTTTAATAAAAAAATGACTCAACAAATTAACAATTTGCAAACGCGATTTTTAAAAGTCATCGAAGCTGAATTTGTGAAAAAAGATGAACAAGAACGTCTTTTTGAAATATTGCATACAACTTGGCAAAATAATGTAACTGCAAGACTTTTAGCTATTAATAACGCTCTTATCGGAGAAGGACTTGTTGGTAATTTTGTACATCTGAATTTGGCTATTAACGCTTATCGAAACGCTTTGGGCGCAGGCGCAAATGCAACTCTTATTGCTCCTCTTACTGAACCAATCAATGCATATGTTGTGCCTGAAGTTATTCAAATCATTCGAGACTATGCTCTAATGATTTCTTCCTTGTCAGTTTGTGGACTCGCTTCGTCAATGATGACAAACGCTTAATCAAAGTTTATATAAAAAAAAATGTAATTTATATAAATATAAAAAAAAAATATTGTTAGCATTTATTTTTTTTTAGAAAAAAAAATAAAAAACGTATTAAAGTTTTTTTTTTTTATTATTTAAAAAAAATACAATATCGTTTTTTACATGGCTTTTTTTATTGCACTTTGTACTGCTAATCCAGTTGCTCCTCCTACTGCTCCAAGTGCAGCGGCTTTTCCAACAGCTAGAGCTGTAGGACCTGCAATAGCTGCTGCAGCAGCAGCTATAGCTCCAAAAGCAGCAATAATCGGTGCCAACAGGAGCGGAAAAATACCACCGCGTTGTTTTTTCCATTTTTTTCGTTTTATTTTTCGTCCGTTTCCTACTTGTTTTGGTACTCGAATGACCATAGAGGGTAATAAAACTCGGTTTCCTCCTCGTTTGCGAGCCATATTTTTTTTTTCTTTTTTTATAACGAATTTGGATAATTGACTAATCGCTGAACATGCTCGATTTGAGACCTGCGTTTATGATTCTTTTTGCAAAACGTTTGACGGCTTCAAATTTAGGTCCTTTTCCTCGATGCTTTTTTGATTTTTTTGTTTTGTCAGATCATGCACGTAAAAAAATATTATTTGAAATAAGAAAAAACACATAATGAGCTTCGCTATAAAAATACTTTGCAATTATTTTTTCAGTATTTCAGCGACAGTTAAATAAATTAAAAGCGACTGTCCTGTTTTTTTAAAACGAATGATTTAAGTGTTGCTTAGTGATTTAGGCATCAAGGCTAGATTTTCATTAAATCCTTTTCCGGTCATCACAAATTGACTTTTGTGAAGCATATCAATGCGTACAACTGCATTATTTATAGATGTAGTAAATTTAAGAGTCATCGACGCATTAGATGAACCTAACACGTTAGGTGAGTCCGTATCTGTAACTCTGTTTTTATCTGCAGTAAGATCAAAAGCTAGTACCTCGTTATAAGAATTGAGCCAATAGTCATTTTCAGTTGCCGCAAATTCGCCTACATAATCTGTAGAATAACGTAATATTTGATTTCGCATATCGTTTTCAGAATTTGTACCGTCATTAATAAATGATAAATATTCTCGATAAAGTTGCTTTCTTGTTTTAGGTAACGATAAGTCGTAAGTAAAAGTACTACCCCCTCCTTGTAGAAAGTTGATACGCACGTTGTTAAATGTGACCGATGCTATTAATTCTTGAGCCATATTTCTAGGTGCTCTACATCTAAAGTTGCTGTGTTCGGCTTGATCTTTACAAAACAGAGACACGCATACTGCATGCGGAGTCAAGCTATCTTGTTTAAAAGTATTAAATGGTATAACCATATTTTTTGTTTGAGGAGGTACGTCAATTGATCGCACTTCCCAATAGTTTTTATGCATTGCTACATATTGTGTGTTAGGAAACGCGTCAATAAATTTATTTCTTTCAAACGCATACATGTCGGTCACTTTAACTTCGTTTGCCGTGATGGTCGGGTTATTAAGTCGAAAAGCCATTGCATTCATTGCTGTCATATCAGCTGCGGTGGTTGTAGGCATATTTTCGAATAATTGAGCAAGATTTGTTTCGATTTCTAAAATAATTACTAATTTTAAATTTTTTCCAAAATATTCTTCTAATTCAAAAATATCATCTAAATGATAGAGGGAAATGCTGAATTGGCATCCTGTTGGTGAGCATGCCGGAATGACAAATTGCGCATTATTTAGAGCTTGATAACTTGTCGGTCCAGTTGTAGTATCAGCAATAATAGGAGTATTTGGATCAGTCATATGTGCTAAAGTTGCTGCCCTGCTAACACTTAAACCAAGATTAGGCGTAGGGCCAGAGCTATCAACTCGATAGTTTGCAGTTTGAGCTAAGTATACTTTATCGAGATAAGATGTCGGATATTTAAAGCGTTGAATGTAACCACGTTGTTCATTTTTTTCGTTTGTATTTAAACTGTTATTTGCTGTTGTTTGATTATTCCATTCAAAATTTGGATACACTTTTATGCCTTTGATCAGATTCAGGCAAAAATTAGCTCTCATAGCGATTTTTCTTATAAACGCAGCGTCAGCAGCAGTGAATGGAGTGAGCACATTGTTTAGTATTGATTTGTAAAGATTCAGTGTAAAATTGAGCACCATGGTGCGATAAATTAGGTTTTTACCTGGTTGATTTGTAAATTGAACTTTTTTTGTCATATCAGTGTTAGTGTCTGGATAATATTCAACGTCATAATCGGTTAAAACCTCTCCTTGTTGTACGGGTACATCAAAACCTCGCCAACGATCTTGATATCCCTCTATTTCTTCTTTTGTTAATTTCGCAGTAAGCGAAGGCAAGCTCTCTCCCAGCAAGCACATCAACGTTGAAATAACGTTGAAAAAAAGTTGAAATTTTAGGTTGAAAAACGGTTGATTTTTAGTTAAAATGGAAACACAAATCTACGTTGAAAACAAACGTTAGATCAACGTTGAAAACAAACCATAAATCAACGTTAGATTAACGTTGATTTAGCGTTGATTCAACCAACTTATATTCTACTTTATGAACCTTAAAAAAATAGCTGCTTTTTGTACCGTGACTAATTTAACCCGCAAAACATTTATTTTTTGTGCAATATAGTGTTGTTGTGAGTAGTCAACTCGCAATAACACCAATGCATTGTCCTGATAATAAATAGCATGTGTGAAGAATCATTACATGTGCTCATACCAAAGCCCAATACATCAATCATACCAAAGCCCATACCATACCAATAACATACCCATAGCCCATACCATACCAATATTGTGCAAGCGCAGAAAACTAAACTATAAATAAAACCACTACGATAACTAAGACATTTTTAAAACAAAATATGATACAAAATTGAAATTATTTTTAAAACGATCTTGATAAAATATCGTCGTTTTCTTCATCGCAAATATAAGCATCGGCATCTTTATAAACTTCTGTTTCATTTTGATTTGATGCCCGTTTCCCACCGTCCAATCGATATGGTGCAAACTTCAAACAATCTGCAATATATGTTCGAGCATCGTGTTTTTTTATTTTAAAAGACCGGGTAACTGCATCTAAATAAAAACATCTTTAAAGTAAGATTTTGTAATTTACAAGCATTAATTTACTTCACATAGTTCATATATCTGACTGTATATTATAACCGGTACACCGATTATATATATATATATATATATATATATATATATATATATATATATATATATATATATATATATATATATATATATATATATATATATAGGTGGGAGCAGCGGAAAGACATATAATATACATACCAATAACACCTCTATAAATATTTAAAGTTTGAAAACCAATCTTTTTTGTTTGTTTTGTATTAGATCCAGTCAAATTAAACTTTGCTTGCAGTTTATTTGCCATTAACCTGTAAAGAAATAACAAATAATTTAAAAAAAATTACATTAAAAATATCTCAAACTAAAAATAAACTAAATTAATGAAATCATCGCAAAATTATGCAATAAACAACAATGGATATCTTAATTAGGATCTGAAAAATTAGACAACTTAGTGGTTAGAGTTAATAGAATAACCAATCTAGACTAGTCAATATACATGTGATTTGATACTGAACAGGTATATTGAAACATACCTGTTTAAAACATTTGCTACACATTTCTTTGCACTGCTTCCACCAAGTCTAGAAAGTTCTTTCACCTGTAATTGAAAAGTAATTTTACAAGTTACAAAATATATTGTACACTTTAGAACTACTTTAAATGCTTTCTTAAAGGTTTCTTTTAAATAATTACAAGAAATAAAATTATCATAGTTCAAAATATGGTTTAATTAATAAACACTCTTTTGTAAGTAAAAAAATGTTCGATTGTCCCGCAAGGCTCTTAGGAGGCACTTTTTCAAAATTTTAGTAGCCCTTTAAGAGAATGAGTCATCCTGTATTTTTATGGTTTGAATATTTCTTATATAAAATTTATAATGAATCACGCAGTCTCATTTTCATACTTGTGTTATATAAATAATTTAAAACAATGAAAACCTTACAAATGCTTTGAACTCTTTAAGATTCGTCAATCCTGCATCAAACGTTATCAAATCTGCAAGCTCGGCAAATGGTTGGGGAAGATGATAAACATCATCTTTACTTTCATTAAAAGTAGAAACTAATCTAAACAGATCGTCAAGCCTTGTATCGATATGTTCTAATTTCCGAATTACCATCAATTGAAATGCTAAATTTAAAAAAAAAAGAAAAAAGATTTGTGTAAAAAATAAGTTTAAAACACAAATTCCAGCACATCAACACATCAGATTTTTATAAGTTATCAGCAATCTAAATGCGAACAAAAATAAAATTGAAAAGAAAAGACAGAAACTACATTACCTTTATTATCATTGTTGTTTAAAAATAATTCATCACGTATACTTGCAGAGTCTTTCCTTATTGGTAAAATTGATGGGATCACTGAAGACATCAAACAAACATTTTCTGGCGCTATCATTGAATCCATTCTTTGACTATTTTTTGGCATGCTAATTTGTGAACTGCCTGGCAATGAATTAAGTGGTAAACCTAACATAAATAGATGAAAAAAAATGAAATGAACCTAATAATTTTTAAATTCTTTTTTATAAAGCTATTATATAAAAAAAATGACATAAACCTAATAACTTTTAACATTTTTTTATACAGTATAAAGAAAATGTCAGTAAAGAAAATGTAATACTGACACATTTTTTTAACATTTTTTTTATATTTATATTTTCTTTACATTTTGATTTGATATTTATCCTTTTTTTCTTTTTAAGAAACATCTCTTCTTCACTATTTTCATCTTGGTCATCCAAGAACTGTGTAACATCTAAATAATAAAAAAACAATCAAGATTACCAAAGGACTTCTTTACAACATATCATATTTACATTAATATTTTAAAACCTCCACTACTAACATAATAGAGCAAGCACAATATTTATCAAGTGTATACCTAAACTAGATTTTGTTGTTCGCTTTTTCTTAGTAGGAGGAACAGGAAGTGGTAATACAGTTCGTTTTTTATTTGGAGAAATTTGTTTACACTCTAAATTTTACAAAACACACTTTACAAGTATTTTAAAACAAAGTAGAATTTTTACTTTTACAAAACACACTTTACAAGTATTTTAAAACAAAGTAGAATTTTTACTTTGAAAATAGATTTTTCTAGAACTTTAAGAAATATAAAAACTAAAAAAACAATTCAAAAGTATTGAAGAATCGAACTTCGTTGCTAGTTTTTCATTATTTTATCTTTACAATTAAATACAAACTAAACTAGACTAACATGTCTAGTCAAGCAATCAAAATTTCTTACTTATTATATCCATTACTCCAGCGGTCTCTCCAGCAGTAACATTATCACCATACTCGTCGCATACACCTCTATCATTATCTAAGTATGTTAATAAAGCAATCAAAATTTGATAACTGGGATATACTTTCCTTAAATATGACAAATATAAATAGTTGTATAATATAAATATGAACAAGTACAAATATAAACCATTTGTATTTATTTTAACACAATATTTGAAAATACCTGTAATTTTGACATATTTCAGTTTAAATTTAAGCCAATCATCTGTTGGATCATATCGTTTTTGAACTGCAGATTCCACTTTTCTATTCGGCCAATAAACAAAGCCACTCTTTATCCAATTAGATGGAATTGTATTTTCAAACTCACTGACAACACCTTCTTTAGAATATTCCAACCAAACAGCTCTTGTCCAAGCCATAGTTCAAAAAAGTTTAATTTTAAGATGGATTTTAGCTGATAAAAAATTGAAAAAACCTGTAAAACCTTTTTAAAAAATATCTTAGAAATATTCATTCTGAACTAAAAGAAATATGAATATTTTCAAACCAAAAATACTTATAAATTGTCAGAAAATATTTTTGATACAATATACTTATTGCGATACAATAAAACAAAATAGAGTTTGCACATAATTATACTTTTGTGTGTGTGTCTTGCACAAAAAAGTTTAAGTCATCATCATCATTAAACTTTTTTGCACATGCTTACGTCATGTGTGAATTGCGGTTTTGAAAACATATTCAAAGAAAAATTATATTAAATTACAAAAACAGTAATAATAACAAATACAAATGAACTACTTAATGTTTTATAAACAGTATCTATAATTTAACATTGTGATGCAGTGGTATAATAACAGTCCCAGTTTTATATGGAATAGCACATGCTTTTTTTCTTATTTTATTTTTTTTAATAACTTTTCTTTGAAACCCACTGTTTGCATGCAGAAGATAAATATCCACAAGTTTTGAGCAACACGGCTTGCTAAAAAATCCATCTAGTCTGGATAACTTGTATACATTGCATTCAATATCATTTTTGTTTAAAACTTTTGTAATGCATATAATTTTTGGCGAATAAAGGAAAAACCAGCTATCTTTATTATTAGACTTAAATTTTGTTTTTATATTCTTCTCGTTTTGATAAGAATTAGTATTTTCGATTTCGGCAATTCTTTTAGTTATTTGCGACAATGGATTTTGAGGTTTACGAATATACTTCTTAAGAGTTCTTAGGTAATTCTCAAAAGGGAAAGCAGACATTTCTTGCAGACTAGAGGAATGATTACTAATGTCATCAGCGATATGCGTTAAATGATGAACATTATAACTCATAAAATCTTGTCCATGCAAAACAGGAGCAGCGCTAACAAACCAATTTAAAAGCTGTTGTGCATAGGACACTAATTCACCATCTAAAAAAAACTTGTCATCAACCATTATGGTCACTGCTACAGATAATGACAAAAAATGGTGATACATTTGGCGCGAAACAATGTTTTTTAGTACAACCATTCCAGTATACAACAGAAAATTCTTAAACTCTGTTGCTTTCCATCGCTTAAACTCAGCCAGACTTCTTGGTTGTCGGGCAAACTCTGATGGCATTTTGCCATTAAGTTGGAGAAGGTAATCTGATATGGCTGCCTTTTGAGCTGGTGCAAGTCTAGATACCTTTGGACCTTGATACAAATATTTCAAGATTCTTTTAACCACACCAAGATATACTAGATGCATTATGTCTAAAACAAATCCAGAAATGCAAGGAACATTTCTTGATGACAAACTACATATACTTTTTTGATGTTCTTTGTAATTAAATAAATTAAACCCAATATCAGTTCTTAACGGAAAATGTAGTCCTTCAAATATAACACGGTGATTTAAATATTCGCCAGGAATTTCACAGCGTTCGCATGCATTATAGCCAGTATGACTGGTGATAGATTTTAAAAATTGTCTTGCTGGAGCATCACAACAGAAATACTTCAGAGAAACAGGATAATGCTTTCCTGCATGCTCCACACCATTAAAACTTAAAGATGTTAATTCTTCTAAAAAATCTTCCAAAAACTCACTCTCTGATGATGGTTTAGCATTTCCACAAAATATTGCAACACTAAATGGTAATGATATTGAAAATTGACATAATATTGGCCATATTTCAACAGAAGAACTTTTATATAAGGGAAACCCATCAATATTAACAACCAAATCAATTTTATTTATGTTGGATAATTTATTTAAAATTTTAAGTATGCATTTTTGTAACCCAAAATAAATATACTCGCCACCACATTTAACCTTTACTTCAACACTTCTAGGTGTATTTAACAATGTTCTTACATCATTTGGCAAATAATTATGACCAATTGATTGCATCAACTTAAGTAACTCATTTGTTGCTATGTTAGAAATTTGATTTCTAACAACCCATTTTGCTAACATGGGTTGAAAAATATCTTCTGCGCCATTATCAGAAACTCTAACTTCTTCATCATTATCATTTTCATCACTACTCTCATGTGAATCAGTAACACTATCATTAGGACCTTCGAACAAACCAAAATTTTGATTCACATTATCGTCATCAGCTGTAATATCTTCGATTGATTCAATGTTGGTTTGAGAAGCTAACTTGATGATACCCTTATTAATTTTTCTCCATTGAGAAGTTCTTGAAGTCATAGTTCACTATTTAAATTTATTAGGTATCTAAATTAAAAATATATACATTGATTTTAGTCATACATATAATAGTTACTTTTATGAATTGATTATGTAGTGTTTGAAATAATTTTACTATATTAGTAAAATATCTATATTTACTATATTATATAAGACTATTATATATAATTAAGTATTATTTATTATAAAGTTTGAAAACTTTTGAAGTTTTTATTAAATTACACATATTTTTATCACATTTAAAAAATTTAATCCGATAAAAATAGTAAATTAAAAACTATATATTAACCCTTTAGCATAAGAACTTTCAAAAAAATAACACTACTTTAAAATTTCAAATAACTTTGTTTGTATCTGACGTTCTATGACCTGTATTCTTAGTTTTTATCAGTTCATAACATTACAATGCGTTTGAAACTTGAATTACATTTGGTCGGTAAATTTTAAACGGCTGTTGCAAAGCATTAATGTTAGAAAGTAAACCAAAATAAACGTTGAATTAACGTTGAAATTTTCAACGTTTTCTTCTTAACGTTGGACTTACGTTGAAATAACGTTGAAATTTGTATCGTTATTTTTCAACCAAATATCAACTAAACCGCAACGTTGAAATAACGTTATGTGCTTGCTGGGCTTCATCCATTTTTTTTTGTAATAACAAAAAAAACGAACTTTAAGTAATGCTTTTTTTTTTTTATTACATTTTTTTTGAATGCAAGCGTTGTAAAAAAGCGAATTGATGTGCTCTTCTCTTTTTTTAATTTGTAACCGCGAAATTTATAACAAATTAACGACTCTATAGGTATTTAAGAATATATAATATTTAAAAAAAAAAATTTTTTTAAAATTAGTCCTCTTCTTGTTCAAATTTTTTGTTTACTTCTTTTAGTGCTTTTTTGTATCCCTTCGTCATATACTTTTTCTTTATTACTTTCTTGTCAACTGGTGGTGTTTTTTTTACAAACAACGACTCTCTTCTATTGCAGTCTTTGCAATATCCATGTATAATATCTACTGCATTTACTGCATTTTGACACATTGCACAGAGATAATGAGTTTTTTCGACTCGAATGGCAGGTTTTTCATAGGTATCTCTAATCGTAGGTCTTTCGAAAATAGGTGTTTTTTCTACAACAACAGGAACGTCTGTGATTTTTTCAACTGGCGACTCGACTTGTTTTGGACTCTTTTGTTTCGCTAGATCATCTTTAAGTTTTAAAAATTGGTGATGTTGTTCCTGTTTTTCTTTTTCGAGTTGCTGTTGTAACAGTTGAAGTTGATCGTTTAAGTTAATAAATCCATTTTTTAATTTTACATTTTCATCTTCTAAATCATATTTGCTTCGATCGACAACTCGTCCGAGCGGATTTAACAAGTGCCTTGAATTTTTTTTAACAAAACATCTGTTTCTTTTATTGTGAAACATTTTTTTCTGATGTTATTTTTTTTTTTATTTGTTAGAAGCTCGAGGTGTTTATAATAAAAGATTTTCAATTGAAAAGCTGAATATAAAACGTAAAATTAGGGTTATTGAATGTCGTAGTTTCATCAAATTGAAGAGGTGCCAAATCTGAATTGACGAAGGTTATTTTTAAATTTTTAAAATCGTCAGCATCGTTAATGACAAATGTTTTGTAGAATCCTTCAAATTGCGGTCTAATTGTGTTTTCAAAACTAATTTGAACTACGCTATCTTGAATAGCGAGATAGGGAGCCATGTCAAAAGACATAATGACGTTGTCTAAAACTGTGTTATTAACAAACGTCGGAGTTTGCTCTACGCCATCCATAGTAATCCAAACGTTTTTGTCGCTAGGTTTAAAATTCAATACACGGTTAGATATGTTTAATATATTAGCTAGCCTGCAGATAAACTTACTTTTTCCGTTAAGAAGCGTTGACAGGTCACGAACGTTAGCTGCAGACATTTTGAAAGAATACGGATTTTTTTCTACTCCGACCAGTGACCTATCGCGCTCTAAAAGCACAGTTATTCTTTTGTCGATTTTATACATTGGCTCGTAGAGAGACATCTTGAGGCACTGAATAGGCAAACTTGTTTTCCAGTCTTCAATGATCGAACTGTCGTCTGCTACTTGCAATATTATTCCGCCTGTATTTGAGACACCTCGCACTGTCAATTGTTTCAACGACAACTGTTCTAAATACGATTTGGAACTGTTAGTAAACTTAAAATACTTATTGTCGCTCGAAGCAATTTTTCTTTCGATAAACGCTGTCGAATTTAAGCTGACTTTAAGGCTGTTACTGAATATAAGCTCAACCTCGTCTATATAAAATAAAACTTCTAAGTATTTGCCATAGTCAGCTGTCGGATCAATATTTAATATGTCGACATTTTTCATTAACATAAACACATCTTCGGATATAGTAGACGGTGTCTTTGTTTTTATTGTCAGCGGAGGCACAAAAAACCTTCGCGCTGTCCTTACGCTGTGATCGTTGTTAAAAATGTTTGTAAAAGACGGCAATATCCAAAATGATTCATTGCCTGTGCCTACACTAATGTTAGTGTAATCGTACGGAACTTCTAATTCTGTCAAGCTGTACGGTTTATTGCATAGAAGAGGCTCGCTGCCTCCTAATGAATTAGGGAAAAATTGAGGAGTTTGCCATTGAAATTCTTTCCATACCAATTCGTTGCTTGCCAAATAGGGCATGGGCATGTCATTAAATTGAACATTTTCTAAAGTGAATTTGTAAGTAACATAATGATCTTTAGTGAAATCAACAGGAAAAAAAAGTTGTTGCTGCAAGAACATGAAATGATGAGGAGGAAATTGAGGAACACCTGTTTTATCGACTGGAAGATTGTTTGAAATAACATTATTTTTTCGCATGTACGTTCCTACCATATTTCCTAGCAAAAACTTAAGTACGTCTGGAGAATTTTTGTCAGACGTGAACGCAATCGGTATCGA